TTTAACTAACAACTGTCTTTAGCGAATAGTGTATAAGTATACGAGCACAGTAAGTTCTGCAAAAGGCGATTCATTCCTATTGTAGAATAAATTTATTGTTCATTCCTCTTAGCACTTTATTGGACGTATCACTATAAAGCAAAATAAAGTTGTTATTGGGCTGTCGGAGACTTTGGTCCAGGAATTACGAATGTATTTGCGATAAAAGACACAGTGTTACGTCGTCTGTATTTTCAAGGGTAGACATGGAATAAAGAAAGAGTTATTTAAGTTTATGCTTCGTAATTTTCTATATTTCATGAATACACTACTGACTCTCAACGAAGGTCTTAGATTAATTTATTATTTAATGTCTTAAAGAACTTCGTAGAGAGGACTAATCGAAAATATTTTTTCTCTTTCATTGGTGAGTTACAGAAAAACTCAACAAAAACTTCAATATAAAAATAAGAAATATCTTTTTTGTCTTTGCTAATACATATACACACATATACATTGAAGTTTGTGACGGTCAAAAGCGACGAAGAACATCATTTTAGAAATAAAGGTCATTTTTATTTTGAAACAGTACGTTAAATATAATTTGGGGTAAAATGATTTTTATTTAAAAATTATTCAATTTGATGGCACTCTCATTATTGAACCGGACGTAATATTAAGACAAAACTAAAATATGTAATATCTAAGGCTTAACTTAATTAATAAAGTTTGAAATTCAATTAAAATTTTTACCAAGAATTATAATTCCCGTTATTACGCACAAAACTGCCAGTAAAATCACTCCTAAATAATTATTTGAGTAAAAACTTTTGTTTACTTCTGGGAATATCTGTTTATCTGTATATACTAAGTCTTGTATTTTCACTAAGTTTAAAGTAGATTATAATGTAATGTACGGACAACAGACTTATTTGATTAATTAACATTATGGTGTTAAGCTTGCTAACGAACTTAGAAATTACTTGCTTAATAGGACTAATTGAACAAATTTGCAATTTAGTTCGGCCTCGATACAGGCGATTTAGGCGTCTCATCCAATAACAATGTTAATGATCAGGAAAGGAACCGTATTTATTGAGAGTAAAAAGATGAAGTTATCTGCTGAACTTCATTAATTTTTTTACAAATAGACCAAACAAAAACTTTGTTTAGAATGGAAGTGAAACAAAGCGCTATTAAGTTTAAATAAAGATAAAAGAGACATAATATTACACAAATTTTTAATGAAAAGTTATGAACGAAGAAGAAAATAATTAAAAGAATAATTTAAGTAATGTAAAATAATAATAACAAAAACCTCAACTAAATGTAAAGTATAAATTTAAAAGGATGTCTATTGTGCTGTGTTATTATAGCCAAATCTCCACGTACCAAATTAATTTGCAATATTACAAAATTTTTTTCTGAACTTTTTAGTTTTACTAAAATCACCAGAGAGAAATCGGAAGGATAACTCAATATCTCGCGCAAGTTGTTGCAGAACGAACTGTTCCTTACTATAACATTTAACGCTTGGATAAAACTGTACTTCCTATGGGTATTTTGCCGACGAGAAAATTTTCATCTTCTCTGAGATTTCCTTTAATCTCGGGCATCTACGAATACCCAGCAGCGTTCATTTCCGCCGGAGCACGGCCGTCATATCCTTTTTCTATTTCCAACTGCGATGGAACAGTTTTAAGAAAAAGTAAAAGTCCGAAGCCTGCCGGATGTTGAGACCGTCGGCTTCTCGAAATAGAAAAATGTCACGGTTGTCTCGCAATTCGCATTCGGTAGTTGCTTTTTTATCGGTGTTATTCATTTATGGTTTATTTAAAAAAATAAGAGTAATTTAAATAGTATATATTATACTTTTAGAAAATTCGTAGTTTTCATAAATACTTCTTTAATACGTATAAAACATAGTGTAAACGAAAATATATTCGTCTTCGTTCGTCGGTTGTTGTTTTTAGTTTGCAATGTCGTAATGTAAAATTGAGTGACCGTACTTCACGACGAGACGTTTACAAATTGTTTCAGCGAAATTGTGTTCTTACAGACAGACTCAGACTCAAAATGTCTTACCTAATTTTACTTTCACTGATGTTGTTTTTTGCTTGCAGTAGACTATTAAAGCTTTATGGAGTTTTGGCTCGTGGGATAAACAGATCCCAGCTTGATAACGCCCTCCGCTTCAAAATGTTGTTTCACTGTAGCAACAGAATTCGATAATTTGTCTCCGAAAAAAAAAAAGTCTGACATTATTTGACAGTTGTTATTAATTTTATAAAAACATAATTGTTATAGAAATAGAGCATGCGATGCAAGTTTCCAAAACCCCACGTGCTTCTTTAATTTTTACATGTAAATCCAACCTTGGACAGCAAGCGCCTTTAAACAGAATGGTTAGGAATTACAATAACATCTCGAGAACTTCTACATCGGACTTGTTTTCAGAGTTGTAGTGCCGCCAAGCTAAAGAAAGAATTGCTAAAATTATTTTCCGAAAATACTAAATTACTTTAATAATCACAGATTGTTGTTACTCATTTTAACTGTTTTCGCCTGGTTTATTGTCAAACAGATTTCCTGTTCTCCCCATTTACTTGTACATACTTAAATAGTATTATTAGTCCATGTATAAATCATACCTAAATTTATTGCACTGCTTATTCACTGTTTATCACTGTTTTTAATGTTTTTTACTGTTATTTTCTTTATCAATTATTTGTTTTTAATTTATTAATTCTTGTTTTAATTTTGGATTTTGTAACAAAAAAAATATATCTTTAACTGTATTTTTCTCGCCCATTATATTGCATGCTGTCAGCGCCTTTAATTGTAATGACACTAACGAACAGTTGATGTATATTTATTTTCCTTGGTCTTAAATAGTGTACATTATGTTGGCGTTCTTTAAATAAATAAATAAAAAGCAATTTCGTAGTCATTGATGGAAATATTGCAGTCTTTATTGTGAATGCTCCTACAATTGTTACCTGAAAATAATAATTTCTTAACATTATTTCCTTGAATTATTTTATTTATAACAGAATCCTTTACTTTAGTAAGTAACATAACCGACATTAATTACACAACAAAAAGTTATACATACACGCTTGCGTAAACATACATACCTAATATGTATATTTACGCAAGCGTGCAGGATTATTCTCCAAGTTTGTTGTCTTAGTGATTTTTTTCTCTTGTAAAATGTAAAAAAACCCTCTACTCTTTGCAACGGGTATCATCAGATAAAATAAATTTGTATTTTTTGCTATAAGGTAAAACCCTAACGCTAGATAAAGCAATCAAATGAAGATAATTACACGTAGTCATTAGAGTCAAGAAAAACAATCACGCGCCATTAATCGTCAAGGCGATTTTCTTTCTCTAACTAAAGCTTAATTAGACATCTGATACAGAAATGCCCCGTAATCTGTGTCGAACTAACGACGTTTGTAATGATTTATTCTTTTCGACTTTCTATACACTGCTATGTTAGTCTCTTTGACGCCACATTGAGTGTGGCGTCAAAGAGACTAACATAGCAGTGGTGGTGGAGTGGGTAGTGCTGCTTAAATAATTACTCACTCGATTTTTTATAACTTGGTGTAAGAATTCTTAAAATTCAAACGATCAGAACTTAGGTATTTAAACGAAAATTGCTATATAAATTTAGTGAAGGTAGGCTTTATATTAATCAAAAACTACCCCCCCACCTGATGATAAGCAGTGATGGAATTGATGAGCGATCACTATGGTAGGGCCACGCAATAATTTTCACTGTTGCACGAATGGGCGGGTCCGTCTGGGTAAGTACGACGACCTCACAGAAGACCGGCGTAAAGTAGAAGTGTTACACTTCTGCGTTTCATCTGGTCAGTGAGGTAGTCGGGGCCCACTTTATTTAAGTTGAACCACCAGCTCGTTTGCCACTCTTTCACATAAAAAAGCTAATTTGCTCTTGCCATGTAGATACGTAATTTATACACGGACGCAAAAGTCTACGCTGGCAAAACACGAGAGAAACTGGAGATGAAAAGTCCTTCGTTCGAATATTTGTTGAAGCTTTGATGATTGATAAATAAAAATACGTAACTTATCAAAAAATATAAAAGAGGAAAATTAATAATCAAATATATACTCTTGTACTCCTGTATTGACTGATGTTTGCGCTTTCAGTCCTGAGACTATTAAAGCTTCATCTAACGCAGAACCGGTGGGCTAGCCAGAACCCATGGGTTTGGGCCCTCCACTGTGGGTAAAGCCGCGCATGTGCTCATGCGTGCGTTTAATTATGGTATGTCATCTAAGGGTCATCGAGGTCCAGTGTGGACCGGGACCCCAATGGCTGTTGACTGTGTTTTTAGCTAGTCGGTGGCTGTGGGCGATGAGCACCGCTCTGAAATGCGGGTGTACCTAGTGTTATGTGTATGCCTTGTGTTGGTCTCGCCCTGTTCGGAGGCGAGGGCGAACAATATTTGTTTTTTGTTACACCAACTGGATGGGTAGTGTTCGGGAAATAATCATATAATACCCGTGAACGTTCTCCGAAATACCACAAATGGAACACACAGGGTTGGCTACTCTGCACATATATTAGAGGCTACGGAGGTATAAACGAGACGATCAATAATAAATGAAATAATAAAAGACGCAGCTGTCGCGAAGCACCAATGGTTGAAGAAATCACTTCGTGCCGCGAAGTGATTTCTTCAACTTAGGTTCTTCAACGAAGCTTGAGGTTAAATTTCAGACTGTACAAGCCAGTACATAAGATTCGATTAGATCTTTTTAGAATAAACTTCACTACCTTTTGAAGATTGTATTTGTTCGTTATTAATTTGGCTGTTGTTTGTTATTGAGTGTTTGAAACGGATATTACTAATTCGCCATGTGTGGCAAAAAAACAAGATAAGCGCATAGTGATTTCATGTCTGTATTCCGTCAAGATTCCTTCGACGGTATTGTGTAAAAATACTTTTATAGATTTTCTAGGTTTTGCTAATATGACAGAAATGACAAAATGTCGCTTCTCAAACACTATTGTTGGCAAAAGTAAGGTAAAAGCTTTTGTTACAATGAGACATTTAAATGTTAAATGTTAACTAGTGGACAAGTATACTTGTCTCTATAGATTGTTTTCAACTGTTGTTCGTCTCACGTAAGTTTATGGTTATTGACTGATTGATATTAAGTTAAAAATATTTGTTGCCGGTTTATTTTTCCGTTAGATTATTTTTTTTAATGAATTATTACAATCTTTATTGATCTAATATTTACAAGATTAAATCTATCTAAAATTACATATTATCTAATAAACCTAATCCACACGGCATGGTGCCAAGAAAGCTAGCTGCATTTCCTCGCTGAATAGTTATGCTTAACCTTTGAGCCAGAAAAGAACCAGCTCTCTTGTCGTCAGCCGCGGCGTTAAGCCTAGGACATAAACTTTTAAAAAAAATTTAATGTGCGGGGACCCCACGGACCTAATGTTTCAACAGCAAATGGCACAAATACATAATCTAAACAAAGAGACTCATATTTGCGCCATTTACTTATTTCAGCTTTTACTTCATTTACTTTTGGAGTGTAAGGGGTCCCAACCAACATCTCTCGGGACCCAAGCCAACCTCGCCTGCCCGCGGTGCACTCTGCTGATCAACGAAAGAGGCTCTGGCAACCCGCCAACACGCACTGGACCAGCGCGGCGGGTTATGGTCCGTACCCCCCATATGATGGTGAAGTCAATGGGGGAGGCCTATGTTCAGCAGTGGACGTCCTACGGCTGATATGATGATGATGATGATGACTTATTTCAGCAGCCTCCGATGCCGCCCCGGCCCTGACCGAAGTACTCCTTAGATGAGAGGCAGCCAAATTGTCTACACAAGTGGCGTCCCAAATAAGGACTTTGCCTCTCCCCCAAGGGATCAATGTTAAACCGTCGGGTTTCTTACCATCGTCGCGAAAAATGCCACAGGGCTCTAAAATAGATGGAAGAAACAAGTGCCCTACGGATGATGTCGTTCAGGGAACCGTGGCGGGAAAAACGGCCAGCACTTTTTTGACAAGAGCCCGTGGAGACCAAATTTGTCTACACTGACACCACAAGGCCATTGGTGTGGTTGACAAATCGGTGCCCCCAGACGGATTCCTACAGCAATGCGTAAGCTTTTATCGTCAAGTAAAGTGCCCAAGTTACTTGATGGTAAAGCGTGAAGCCAATAACTTTAGATGAGACGCCTAGGAAACGGGCACGCTCTAAATTACTCTGTAAAGATTGAAATGTATCTCTCTGTACTCTCCGCACCAAAGGAACGTCCCACTGTTTTTGTAGGTTTACTTCCAGTGGGATATTTTCGTTGGGGCAGATAGACAGCCAAGACATCCTTGGCTCCTCTGCATAGGAAAGTTCTGAATCGTGATTAAGGATGTTATTACATAAATTATTTACGCTATGCACGGAAGCAAGGAAGGCAGGTAGAGCGACACTAGAAATTTTCCTTACACCGATACCACCAAAACGAATTGGCAGCGTAGCTTAAGTCCAGCTTAATTCATTAAGAGATAAATTTAGAATTTTTTCTTGAGCTGATTTAAGATGGAAATCAATTTCGTTCAAAAAGTCACCGCATTTCCAAACTGGACTCGAGCGAAGGAGGTACGTAAATTTAGGTACAAGAATACAATGTCGCAAAATAGTAAGCGCAATATGCGAATTTAGTAAAAACAATTTAGTAACATGATCTATTGATTTAGCTTTAATTTTAAATGAGGTTCCAAACTTGGTATCAACAAAGGAGCACCTAAGAGGTAAAGTGAATCTGAACGAACTACGTTAATTCCCGGTATGATAGAGCTAAAATTTTGGGTCAAAATAATTTTGTCGGAAAAAGAAATCTTTTCGGAAAAGAAAAGTTCACATTTGGAATTATTTAAATCGAGACCGATATTTTTAAATTGTCTAATAATTTCGATAAGATTACTTTGTACATCGTCAACTTTACCTCCCAGCGTACCATCGTATAGGTACCAGACATTAAGTTTAGATTTCAATTTTGAAATAATTGGATGAATTCCCAAACTAAATAATGCTGGTCCTAGCAGATCTCCCTGCTGAACGCCGACAGCAGAATCGATATTATTGTCTTCATAAAATAAATTACTCTTTTCACTGTAACATTGCCTAACATAATGATATATTTCTGGTGTATAGTTAGCCACTTCGTTCAGCAGAGTCGTTCTATCAATGGAGTTAAAAGCATTCCTTAGGTCAAGCTTCAACAGTACATCCAAATCACTAGTATTTAAAGAAGTTCGAACGGAATGTACAGCCGCTTCACAGCCGCCTTTGCTTCCAAAACCTAGTTGAACAGGCTGAAATTTTGTTTTAAGGCCGGAGATAATGTAAGCCTACATGCTAATTTTGAAGATAATCGTCGAAAGGTAGAACCTATAGCAATAGGGCGGATACCATTATCTTGATTACCATTAGATTAATTGAAATGGTTTTCATATAACATATGTACATAAGTAGGAGATAGCAGCGATATATTGCAGATAATGTTGAACCTGAGTTTTAGTTCTGGGTGTAATAATGTATCTTTTAGCCGGCGGAGCGGTCTGCGCTCATATCAGGTCGGTTATTTCATATATGTTGCAAAATAATTTCATTCTACCCAAGAATATTCAAAAACTGGAAGTTTTAATCCGTCTCATTCACTTAGCATAGGCTATACAATAATTTGGAATATAATTCTCTCCTGAATGTTCATTGGACATGTCTGTATCTGTGTTAACACCTAATACCGTATGGCTTATTTAGTTACACTTTATCAAAATTTCTCAAATCGTTTGTTTTGTTTCTACACATTTTTGTTTTCATATGCAGAGGCTAGCTCTAAAAATATAAAAAAAAGGGATAAGTGTGTATTTGATCCGCAGATAATTTTCGCGGACCTGGGTATTACATATGGAAGAATTTTGTGATTAATGAAACTTAAAATTTAATGAATAACTAATATTTTATAATATCTAAAGTAAATTACTCGAAAAAAGTTTGCAACAGCTAACAATTCCAATTAAGGTAAGGTAGACTTTAAATATCTGAAATTAAAAAAAAAGTAATTGAGCTTACCTTTTGTGTTCCGAATTCTACTTTGCCATCGCAGCGTTATCTGGGAAACAAAGCCTCATTAAGCTTTAAGCTGTCATTGAAAGCAGCTTTATGGCTTTTTGATACAGAGATATTACGTTGTTATTGATTACAAAATCCTTATGCAGTAAAACTTAACACAGTTCATACGAAAGGGATAAAGTTATCATTATCATCATCATTTCAGCCTGTTCGATTAGGATAAAGATTTGCCGTTTGTCTAGATATCTCAAATCCGATTAAATTAAAATAGTGGCTTATAAAACAGAAGCAAATGTAGATACAATTTATTGAGAAATAAATAGTGAAAAGACATCTGGATGTGACTTCACAACGAGTTTTTCTTTCAAGCACTTTATCACCTTTCACGGTTACCTCACTTTTAGATCAAGTATTACAACGACAAACACTCATTCGATTTAAACTAAAAGCCGCCATGAAATCATTTGAATATTTAAAATAAAGTCTTACAATTTTATATGATACACATAATTATGTACCTTAGACTTGTACACATATACACAGTTATATGTTAATGGAATGATAACGGTGCAGACTTCTGTTAACACTTTAAATACGTAGACCCATATGATATGTTTTAGCGTTATGTCAACGCCAGAATAAAAAGGTATGGCCTGATGTATAGCTGCTTCGTTACGAACGTCTATGGTAAGCCGTTACAATAAATATTACTAGAATAAAAATTTATAAAATATCGGAAGACCATGCATGCGTTTTGTCTACTCATAGATAGCTGCGAAATAAGAAAGGAACCGATAATCATAGTAGGGGTGACGTGTCTGTAACCGAGTTCTTAATCATAATTAAAGTTTAAATAACACGGAGATTAAAAAACTTAAAACTGCCACCCATCTAAGTATAAAAAAATTGTACTAAGTACGATTAATACTTTTTAACTTGTCAAACTTATTACCATCTGTAAGTAGTATCCTAGGTTTATTTCTACTCCTCGCGGTTTGTACTATTTGTATGGGCCATCGCTATAACAATTTTCTTATTTGTTACCCTTAGAAAATAGTCAAGTTTCTCTTGAATGGTGACGTTATAAAGACTTTTAGGTATTTTAATTCTAAACCTTTTTTTAGTGTAAGTAGTATTAGTGTAAGGGGGTGTTAATAATAGAGATTCGCGCAGTGGAAGCGTGTGTGTCGTAAGGGGGAAAGGATTTAAAGTTTTGTGTTAATCAATTAATTTTGTTAGGGGAGGAGATTTTTATTATTCTGCAGTTTTCTCTTGCTCAGTTTTGGACTTGTCATCTGACTGTTAGTACAAAGTCAAATATATATTGAAAAAGGGAATTCAAAAACGGAATTTTTCAGAGAAACTTTTTACAGAATTTTTGATATCTCCTCTTCATTTGTTTCATCAACATCATCAAAAACATCAACAACCTCCGTCATTCTCCCTTCTCGCATCCAAAAAACCATCAAACATGTTCTTTATTCTCTACAACTTCCTCATCCAGATTATCAACAAAATTCACACTCCTCACATCTTCAACTGTTTCTTCTCAAAGTACTTCATTTGTTTCTCTCTTCATTTTCAACACGAATTGTTACTTCTTGAATTGTTCCTTTTTTAAATGTTTCTTCTTCATCACCCATGCCTCCATTTTATTTATGGATAATAATTTCTCACTTGTCCTCGTGGTCGCAGTCGCAGTTTTCAAAGCTCTCTTATAATCTTTTGTTTCCAACTATGGTAGTTCATATTTTTCTAATAATGGTTTGATAAAGAAAATTTAATAAGGGCTTGTCCATCTTTGAAAATTTCTTCTCAGCTGTCACTTTTACTCAAAAATGGAAATTCTCCAAAAAATATGTTGCTGGGCCCATAACCTCTTGAATGGTGGATGTGGCTCATGGGATCATTTTCAAACCGAAAAGACACTTAAGGACTGATAGGAAAACTGTTTATTTCAACAAACATTTTGAACTTATTTTTGGACCAAACGTAATCATTATTGAATTTATATAAAATACAGGAGTTATGTCAGATAGCTATACATGTTACATCTTCAAACGATTTTTACGAAATCAATCAAATATGACACAATTCAGTTTGAACAAATAAAACTAACATTCTAAATTTAATTTAAAGTAATTCAAAAATAATACATAAACCAAGAAGATCAGAGTTCATATCAAAGAGTATGTATAATCTGAGATTACCAATCAACAGTTTCAAAATTATATTTGTCACAACAGTAAACAGTTTCTATAAAATGCTACTAATAAAATCATATCTCACTAAAAGAACCACATAAAGCATTTTCAATTGAGAAAGTGAGTTGGCGTTTCAACTGACTTAAAGTGATTAGGATCCGCCCATGGAATTCTAAGAAAGCTGTGAGGTTGCAAAAGCGGTGCTTATCTTTAAAGATGGCTCCGGCTACCTCACTACCCAGATTAATCGCGGTATTATGTTACTTCCTCACGCCAGTCTCCATGTAGGTATACTATATCTGTTACTAAAGATATGTTTGTTATTTAATTATAAAATGACACTTTAGCAGCAATATTCTTTTATCAGAACATCGTAAGGATAATAAAACTGTTTAGAATTTGAAAGACATCAGTTGTTTTAAAGTGAAAAACATTTTTACTTTAA